TTTTTAAAACCAGCATAAAGTACCGAGATGATTTTACAATAGTATGCACTTGTGTGAATGTGTTTCCATAGTATATGACTTCATATGGTTATTTTACCTACTCTGCACTATTATGAATGTGTTTCCATAGTGTATGATCAGTTATGGTGATTTTATCGTCTTTGTACTTTTGTGAACGTGTTTCTATAGTGTGACCAGATTATAGTCTTTTGGCAGAATTAAAGAAATTTAGAATTATATAATTAAATAACTTTGCCATGTACATCGAGATTAATTGATAATGAGTATGGTTATTTCGGGTATTTTTTTTGGTGTAATTTTTTAGAGTTTTATAGCTTATCAGATTTTTGACTACGGAATTAAGTTTATCCAGTTTACAGAATAAAGATTTTAGCTTTTAGTACTATGAAAGGAGATTTTCATTCGTAGTATGGATATCAGATTTATTATATTCATTATACATTACAATGGTTTATTCAAAAACGAAAAGTAAAGGATTTTATGATTCTATTATATTTTATTCTTAAAAATATTATCAGATTTTAGGATTTGTTAAAGTTGTAATAGCATAAGTATATTTAAAAAATTTGCATAAATGGAAAAAGTATACTTATTTGCGAAAAATATCTACTCAATGAGTTACAAGCTTATATATTTTGTCATCATTTTTCTTATTAGGTAGTAGTTGAGTTGAGAGTATTGGAGCCTGTTGATCTATCGAGTTGTGCCACATATTGTCATTTATTATGAGATTCATCTTGTCAATTTATACAGTTCATATTTTAGGGATACATACTTTTTTTTTTTTTTTTATCAGAAGTGGATCCATACCATGGGCTCACTGCCTATTTTTGGTTATCATAAACATTTGGAGTTGTCTAATTTGTTTAAAAGTGTAAATTTTATTCATGTGTACTTTTTTTTTTTTGGAATAGTTTGTATTTGAAGGGGCCGTTGTACCTTATTTTAAATTATATGGACAGATTTGAGAAATTTGGTCTTTTTTTTTTTTCAAATGGTCTTAATCCATATTTCAAAGGAAACCCTGTCAAAATTTTTATAAAAATATGTCACACTCAAAGCAGGTCAAAGTTACCTTGGTGGTGGGTTCGACACTTAGCTGGTATCTTCAATCAGTGCACAACACATGTCTAGTCCACTAAAGCAAGATTTTGAAAATCTTTTATGGTTTATGCCTCAGTATATCATGCATATTCCGCATGCATGATCATGTCGCATGGTGATAGAAATCAACAGGCTCTCAAGCTCTTTCTACTAGTATGTTTGTAACCTAAAATGATAAAAGAATATTTTAATAGATTTAAAAATGACTGGTACCTAAATATGTTAGTTGCGATGATGTAATGGTTAAAATGTTATAAGTTGTTGGGTTGGTACGATGGTGCATGTAACCTAGTACCCATTAGAGTACAACAGTGAACATGTACCCCTTTGAAATTAGAGTTTTAATGATTTTGTAGGGTTCTATCTATATACATTTGGAGGAAAGTAATACATAATTACCTAAGCACCAAATTATATGTGAGATTATATGATCCTTTAATGTATATATGGGAAATATCTCTCGTTATGTCTTGCAAGATAAGAATAGGTAAATGCTACTATATTGTGTAATGGAAAGTAGTCATATGAGGAATCTTAACTATTTTTGGGGATAAATGATCATTTGTATTTTTGAGACCTTGTAGTAATTTATAGTCATTTAAAGGGGAGGATGATATAAATTAGATGATGTATATCTATATATATTTATGATAAGAATCTCGGATCCGTTAGGATGATTTGGGATGGATCGTCAATATTGCATTGTACAGAGACTAGTTGAACTTGTTACAGAACACTTAGGTGGGCCAATACGGGATGCTAATTAAATGTTGGGAAAATGGCTAGAGAAAAGTATGGAGTTGAGGACATCTACTCATGCCATGATGCTGCCAATTGGTGGACTTTCTTGCCATCGTGCACAGCTTTTTATAAGGTAGGATCTGTGATAAGATATAAAATGTTAGTTTTCAATGATTTCTTATAGACTTTTCAAGAATAGAGATAACTAGAATGACCTTATTCCAGAATGCTTTTCTCTCAGAGCACTACCAATTTTAATTTTTTCGCTCTTCCAAATACATGATTGAATTATATACTATGATATTGATCCATTCAAGAAATTAAATTTTGTACACAGTGTCTTGATGAGTTTTACATATTCTCAAGTTTCTTGATGTTATTGAAATATCTTTGCAACATTCGATATGCTCATTACTGCTTTGTTTATAGACGATTTACTTGATTTAATTCAGGTATTAGCTGATAGTGTTGGAATATCTTATAGACACGTGGATGATGCAATCAATATTATCAAGCTACCAAATGACAAGTAATATGGGGAAAATTGGAAACATTTTCCCTAAATTTTCTGGTGAATAATATTCTTCTTTTTATATAGGAGTGATTATTGTACTTAGGAGATTGTGATTTGAATCTTTTCCAATTACCTGCTTGGGTCATGTTCTTTAACTATGAATCTTTGCATAGCTGCTTGCGACGTCACTGATTTGAATGAAGCAGGCTAATTTTATATACTGTGATAGTTGTACACAAAATTAAAATGGTTTATGCATATGCACTAGACATAGGGCCGCATATGATATAAACTATATAGTTACTGGAATATTTTTGCTAACTTCTAATGATAAACCTTCCTATGGTTTTTGACGATCCATAGAAATAAATTTTGAAGTATACTTATCTAATCACTGGAATGCCAAAAGTGTTCGTTTAATATGTACGAGGAGGAGAAATACTGCTACAAACCTTAGTACCTTCCTGGTTAGGTAGAATTGAAGAATAAAGATTTGATGAAGTAATCTTTGTAAACATGTCGCAATCTTTATAGTTCATTTAGCACCTACATTCCATGTCCTAGTAAGAGAAAAATAGCCACTTTAGATGGCTCCTTAACCACTTTTGCTGGCTTTGGAAACATTCGAATCTATCCCTTGTTTGTCCTTAAAAATGTGCTTCATGTTCCCAAGATATCTACCAATCTTTTATCTATCTATGAACTTACAATAGACATGAATTGCAAGGTATTCTTCTATGGAACTCATTGTGTATTTCAGAACTAGGATTCAGGGATGACGATTGGACATGCTAAGGAGGACAACAAGCTATACCTTCTTAAAACATCTAACACTTGGACGGAAGTATGAGCAAATTACCCTTACCTTTTTTTCAAGACACTCATTGCCTAATATAGATTGAATTTGGTTACAACGTCAACGGCTTTGACATCCCTCTTTTGGAATCCTTAAAATTATATTTCCTTCGTTGTTTAAAGGGATAGATAAGGAGAAGTTCCATTATGATGTTTTTGAAATTTCTAAGCATAGACGTGTATCCTTTCCTATGAGTAATAAAAGATGCTCCATTCCTTTCTCATTGATTCATAGTGATATATGGGGCCCTTCTCTTATTCTTAATATTTCTGGAGCTCGTTGGTTTGTTTCCTCTATGATTGCACTAAAGTTACTTGGATTTTTTTGTTGTTGAAATCTAAGTCTGATGTGAGTTCCATATATCCTATATTTCACAACATAATCAAGAATCAATTTGGCGTACAGGTCAAAAAGTTCAGATAAGACCATTAGGGATTACTTTAATCAAATATTATCTCTCCTTACTTCCAAAAGGAGGGAATTATCCATAAATTATCATATGTCTCTTGAGTCCTAGGATTTGAAAGCCCCATGAAATTCTCTCAAAATTCTTCCCTGACTAGCACAACAAATTCTCTTGTTCCAAAAATATTTGGTTGTATCTTTATTGCGCATATTCACCATCCAAATAGAGGAAAATTGGATCACCGTGCACGACGGTGTGTTTTCATAGGGTATTCGTCTACACAAAAAATACAAATGCTATGATTCCTCCACTGGGAAGACATATATCTCAACTGATGTTACATTTGATGAGGATACTGTTTAAACCTTATCTTTAGGGGAAGACAGTTATGGAAGATAAGGAGTTGCAGGACTTGCTCCTACTAGACCTTTCTGCTAGAACAACACCTATAGCCACTACATCTGAACATTGAAAAATAGGATGTAGAAACAAAAACAAAAACACCCACCATTGCTCTTGTAGCAGGTATCGACCATGTGGAATTCGAACAAAATGAAACTACAAAAGGGGTTCTTGAATCTATAAATGAGGATAATGAAACTCGTGCTAACACCAAGTATTCTCAAGTGTATTCAAGAAGGAAATCAGTAGTTTTCGAACCAAAGCAAGTTCAAGAGTTTGACTCAAATTATGGAAATGAGGTTACAAATTCTAACTCAAATTATGATAATAACCGACCTATTGCCATTAGAATGAAACCATGGGAATGTACTAAGCATTATATCCACTCTCACTTTTTGTGTCATTTGGAAAATGTTCACCATCTCATAAAAACTTTCTCATAAGCTCAAACACTATATCCATTCCTAACACCTTGGGTGAGGCATTATAATGAGAAAATTGAAAATATGCCATGAATGTTGAAATGCAGGCTCTAGAGAAGAACAAGACATGGGAATTGGTGGATTTACCTAAGGAAAAAAAAAACAGTTGGATGCAAATGGGTCTTCACAATAAAATACAAAATCGTTGGATCAATGGAAAGATATAAAGCTAGGCTCATTGCTAAATGGTATACTCAGACATATGGAGTGGACTATCAAGAAAATTTTGCACCAGTGGCAAAAATGAATACAATCAGAATTCTATTGTCACTAGCAGCTAATTAAAATGGGCAACTTCAATAGTTTGATGTGGAAAATGCATTCCTACATGGAGATCTATAGGAAGAAATATACATGGATGTATCAGCAAAATTCGAAAAAGGACTACCAAACAGCAAGGTGTGCAGATTGAAGAAGGCGTAATACGGACTAAAACAATCACCTAAAGCATGGTTTGGTAGATTTTCCTAGGTAATGCTGACAAATGGCTATAAACAAAGTCAGAGAGATCATAAACTATTTATCAAACACTCAAAGATAGGGGGTGTTACTGCTCTTTTAGTGTATGTTGATGACATCATAGTAACCGGAAATGAGGAGCAAAAGAAAGAAGATTTAAAGCACAAGTTAACTACTAAGTTTGAAATAAAGGAGTTGGAAGGATTCAAATATTTCCTAGGCATCGAAGTGGTTCATTCAAAGCACAGAATCTTCATCTCTCAGCAAAAATACATTCTTGATCTCTTGAAGGACACTAGGCAGTCAGCAAGTAAACCAACAAGTACACCTATTGAATCGAATCACAAGCTCAGAGAAGCAGAAGGGAATATTGAGTTAATAAAGAGATGTATCAGTGATTGGTTGGTAAGCTCATTTATATCTCTCATACACGGCCAGATATTGCATATGCTGTAAGTATATTAAGCTAATTTATGTATAATCCAAAAAAGTTCATCTTCAAGCGGCCTATAAGATTTTACATTATCTTATAAGAACTCCAGGGAAAGGTATCTTATATAGAAGAAATGCTAGTCTATCACCTGAAGCCTACATCGATGCAGATTATGCTGGATCAATAGCTGATCGAAGGTCCACTTCAGGATATTGTACCTTTCTTAGTGGAAATCTAGTAACATAGTGAAGTAAGAAATAGAATGCGGTAGCCAGATCGAGTTAGAATCTGAGTTTTGAGTAATGGCTCAAGGAGTTTGTGAGTTGCTATGGTTAGAGATCGTCCTGGAAGACTTAAAAGATTAACTAGGATGGTCCCACGAAACTTTATTGTCATAGTAAATCTGCAATTAGCGTTGTACACAACCCAGTATAACATGATCGAACTAAGCACATAGAGGTAGATAAGCACTTCATAAAGGGGAAGTTGGATAGTGGTTTGATTAGCATGCCTTATGTATCCTCATAGGCTCAACTAGCAGATGTACTTACTAAAGGGTTAAGTAATCCAATGTTTCAGGCCATCATTACCAAGCTGGGAATGGACAATACCTACTCACCAGCTTGAGATGGGGGGGGTGTTGGAGGATATAATTTCATCTACTCCAAATAGTTAGGAGTGTTTATAAGATAAGTTTCCATATTCAAATTTTTAATTTTTAAATTCTAGGAGAGTATCCCTATTTCAAAGGGAAAAGTTGTTTGTAGTTCCTAGTTTATCTCATGGCTAATAGCCTATAAATTGTAACCCAATTGTAACGAATTATAATCAGCATATAACACACTATATTCTCCAAAGCTCACAAATGGGTATGGTAGTGAGGAAAGACCGAAACGAAGTAATCCTTCCTACTAAAGAAAAATATATATCCTTTTTGTCCCTCCAATGTAATCAATTATTTTCTTGATATCTTAATATAGTTCCTTTTACATGTAGGGCCATAACCCCACACACACACACACACACCATGTGCATGGATAAGAAAATATTTTCATGTGCCACTGGTGTCAGAGTTTGCATATCTGCTGGCTTTAATTAAAATGCTTATGGATTATAATCCCCTGTTCTCCTCAAAATTTAATTCTAATTCAAGAAATAATTTCCAGGACCTGGTTGTTCATATCTCATGTTCCGCTCTTCTCTATTTACTAAGTACCAAAATGAGCTATACATTACATAGATAACCTCAATTTTCTCAACGAACTAAGGTTACTTATGATGCAAGACTCATGTTGGAAAGAATCTATGTATCAAATTTATTTATTTTTTCATTCCAAAATTTTACATGAATAAATTTACCTTTTATGCTTCCTTGTTTTTGAAATGACATTTTGAACTTCTCTTCACATGTAAATCATACACACGTGATCTTATTTGTGTATTTAATAAATGGATGGGTGACTTTACTCTACATGTCAAAATCTAAACTAAATTAATTTTCTCAGTGAGTGGTGGTTGATCTCATGGGAGCTCTTGGGACTCAAATCCCAGTTGATGTTCTGTGTGCAAAGGATACTACATCTAAGCCACATAATCAAAGCTAAATATACTTCCCCATCTTTTGATGACCAAAGATACCAATAGTTCTTCCACACAACTTGATCAGAGTTTTGGAGCTGGACATAATTTGTTTCCAAGGACAAAATCTTCAAAGATAGAAGCAATACCTTTACTTTTAGATGCTAGTGTGAATAATGGAGTTGGGTCTTCTGAAACTAGTAATGAAGGGTGTGCTATTAGCCAATTGGATCACAGCCCCTTGTTGGTAATTGGGACTTCTTTTTACAAAGGAGTTCGTGGATGCAATACAGTTGAAGAGAGAATGAATGTAAATGTGGTTCCATGCAGTCTGAATGGTGCGAAAGACACTATAATCTTTTCTCATACCTTAATCCCAAAATTCTAATGTTCCAAATATTTTTATAGATACAGTTGATTAACTGCAATGCCTAAAAAATAACCTTGTCAATGGTCGGCCTCCTGTACCATTGATGTGGAAGAATTGTCACGCATGCGATGAGGTCCCAAAGAAAAACGAATATAGTTTTGTGGATTGTTTATTCCCAAAAAATAGTCTGGAGGTTAGTAATTATAGGGTAATATTAGTTGCATCTAATAGCCTTACTGCTACTAAAAATGTTCTCTTCCACACCTACAAGTTACCTAAGAAATCATATCATAATTATGTGGAGAACAGAGACAGTATTTCAGTTAATAACAGTTCTACCTCGGGGAAGATTTTAGCATCAATCATAATCAGGTTGCTTATGGGAACATGTTGCAAACTGATGAACCTGTATCACAAAAGACCGCATAATTATCACTAGGCTGCATCACTATAAACAAAATATACAAAGCAGGTTTAATTTGAAATTGAAGGACCCAGAAAGTGCCAACTCTTCACTTGATTTAGGTTCGCATCATGTTGTTCTAGTGATTGATGATGTTGGTGAATGTCAAATTCCTTGGGGGGATCTTGTCATAGGTGAACGAATTGGACTAGATAGCACCTACCTCGACTTGTTTTACGCTTCCATTGGTTTTTGTTTGTGCTTAAATTTTCACAAAATTGAACTATCAGTGCTTTCTCTAGCATATGTTACTAGAGAACTCGTTTTATATGATGAATCATATAAGCTTATTCTTGGGCATGAAATAGGTCTTTGTGCTCACTGGATCATTGATCTCTTTCTCTTTTTCGTTTTTCTAAGATAGATGCTACTGGCAAACTTTTTTTTGTCAGAAATCATTATCTGTGAGTTAATTATGATCTATTGTTATATCTTCACCTATATTTTATGGTTAAATATACTATTTTTGCAGATTTGCATAGAGAGGTCTACCATGCTTATTGGAATAGCATTGTCGGTGGTTCTCACATTTTTTACTCAATTTCTTAAGGTAAATGATTAAGAGATTTTTGAAATAGAGACTACTAGAATATTTAGACAAACCATTTGTTACATTTGTTTCCTTCACTGAGTTCAGTGAATTTGGAAATTTTTTATTAAAAGGATATTTGGTTGTGCATGTATGCATCTATATGTGTGCTTTTTGTTACCCTTCTAGTTTGGTAAGTACCTTTGAGATGTAATTTTGCTTGTTCATGTATGATATAGATCTTGGGAGAATCTTGCCTTATGAGCTAACCATTGAAATTGAAGAATCCAAGTCTATATAAAATATAAACTAAAAATTCGTACTTTGATCCCGATGCCCACGTTGTACTAGCTTTTGTGCACATGACTATTCTTGAATGGACATTGCTATGTCGGCGTCACTATTTGTGCTGATTAATTGCAACCAGGGACATTGTGTTTTGCTTTGATACTATTGATATAGATTTTTATCAAGGCTAGTTTTTATACATTTACTATAATTATTTTGTTAATTTTCTCAGAAGAAAAATGAAAAAAAAAAAATAATCTTCAAATTTACTTGTTTACACATCTTGATTATTTTATGTGTGTGTTACCAAGATCTATATCAATATTATCAGAGCAGTCAACATGTCACTCGATTGCAATCGAGTGACGTAGATTGTGACATCGACATAATAGTGTTCGTCCAAGACTAGTCATATGCTAGTGCCAATCCCAATGTGGGCATGGAGATCGTACAGCGTGGTGTTATCATAGTTCCCATTGGTAAGATCTTACATCAAAACTCGAAAGTATGGGCTTTTTCGAGGTGTAATGTGTTGACCTCGAATTTTGTACCCCTGACGTGGTCAATAGATCTCAAGGCCTCTCAAGTCTACGCAAATTGAGTTCAAGAATAAGATTGAAAGAATAAATCTCACTTGATGATTAATCTCTCAAATAATGTATTGTTCTTTGTACAATGAATAAACCTTTACGTTGGTGGACTCAAAATAAATCATTGTCAAAATGAAACCCTGATTCCATAATCAAATCTAAATAAACTAGGAAATCTAAAATGAATATGAATAAACATAAAATACTGCAAAATTAATAAAAATATCGTTAAACTAACTCAAAATAAAAAAATGCTAAAACGGACCAATAAATAAACGGGATTTGACCTTGAAAGTTTGACGACATCATTTAACAAAAATGTGCAAACCGAGAAACACTTTTGGATTGTACTCAAGAATGAAAATCCAAAAATCAATCTAAAAGTTATGCGCGTTTTGTACATCCTTCTTATTCTTACGCTTTTCTAACTAGTTTAGGATTTTTCTCTTCAAATTGATCCACATTTGTGTGATAATACTTTAGGCCCCTCTTTGATCCCCATTAAATTAAATTACATTACATTCCATTTCTCTCTCTCCTATTTTCAACCATACAATCTTCCATAAAATAATATTACACGTAAATCGAAAACTTTTCCTTCCTTTTCAACCACTCATTTTTCTAAAAAATACTATTCCCCCCATTTTCATTTTCAAGTAATGGGAATCAAACAGGGGCTAGATTTGTCCTTTTTACAAATAGTGCATCTACTACAAATACTAATAACTTTTCTTTTCATTCTAGGCTAATAAAAATGCTCATACAACATTTATAAGGCTTTCATAACATCAAAATGTCCCATCAATCCTTTACTATGATGCAACAACAGTTCACGCACAGAACAATTAGGCATACATAATTCACTTTTTCTAAGCTTACCTATGCTTGATAAATCAATTACAACCTTATCACATCAGTGGCATAGATATTATTAACTTACTGAATCCAAGAATTTTGGCACTTAGGTTAGAAATACACACCTTGTGTATTTGCATCAGCAATTATGTTAACCTTATGGGTTATTCCACTTATACATCAACAAATGTACATGGGGAAAAGTCTTGATATACTCATTCATCTAGCATGCCTCTTGTTTAGTTGACCTTAGATTTTAGCTTTTGTTTGGGCCCCATTAATTTTCATTCCATTCCATTTTATTTTTCTCTCTTATTCTCAACCACACAATCTTCCATAAAATAATATTATATGTAAACCGAAAACTTTTCCTTCTTTTTCAACCACTCATTTTTCAGAAAAAACACTATTCCACTCATTTTCATTTCTAGAAAATGGGGGCCAAATGGGGGCTTAAGATGTCTTAGTAATTCATGGCCAGTGTGAGTTACAAACTCCTTCTGCTATGTAGAGTTGTGTCTCCAAACTTAAACAAGAGTATAAAGCTCTTTTGTCATATGAGAGGTAACTCAAAAATGCTATGGGTCATCTATCCTGCGTCAAAATGACTCCAATTCTGATTCCTGAGGCATCACATTCAATCTCAAAAGTTTTGTTAAGAGTACAATGCTAAAATAGGTGTAGAGCACAACCTGTCCTTAACTACAATGACCTAGCAAAACCCAACGTTCTTCTTTATAATTTAGTGAGTGTTGTAGGAATTGTGCTAAAATTTTAACAAAATGCCTATAAAAGCTAGCTAAACTATGGAAGTTTCTTATCCCAATGATGATTTTGGTTTTGGCCACTCCTTGATAGCTTTATTTTTCTCTTCATCCACCTCAATACTCTTTGATACATAACCAAGAAAAATAACTCATTCCATGCAAAAGGTGTATTTCTTAAAATTAGGAA